CTTCCCAGTCTCGCCAGTTGTCGAAGTCCACGGAGAGCCAGGCTGGCTGTGGGCACAGAGAGCAGCCCCTGAGGGGGGAGTAGCACCGCGGGGACCTGCACCCCCCTGCGAGGGGCCTGGGAGGGGCAGGAAGGGTGTCCCTTCGCCTGCAGGTGCAGGGTCCTGACCCTGCCAATGTCAGGGAAAAGGGGTGCCACATCCTTCCTGAAGGGCAGAGGTCTGTCAACTGGCAGTGATCGTGAGGTTGGGCTTTTTGTGAGCTCTTGGGGTCCTCCCAGGCCCTCTGTGTCTTTTTTGGTCCCTGGGAGCCACAAGGTGCTGTGTGAGGCTGATCCTGGCTGTCAGGTGCCACACACACCTTGATGTTCTCCTTGGTGATACGTGGCCAGGCCACTTTCTCCTTCCACTTCCTCATAAAGCAGGTGATGGAGCGGTCAGAGCGCTTCTCCCGTGAGTCCTGCCAAGAGACCAGGGTGCCTCACCTCAGTGTCTGCCACACTCCTCTGCAGACCTGCGCAGGGCTAGAGCTCAGCCCTGTGCAGGCTGTGGGGGACACAGAACTATGGAGACAGGTTGTTTCTGGCTCAAGACAGCACTGCAAGTACCAGCCCCAGGGCCAGGGCTCTCGGTCTTGTCTCACCCCACTGAAGCTCTCAGGATTCAACACAAGTAGTGTTGCTCAAGTCTGCATGGGCTGGCTCTGACTCTGAGCCTGCTGCAGGCTGTGGAAGCACAGTTTGCTGTGGGGAAGCCTCACCTTGGAGTTGACCCTGGCATAAAGGTTGATCTCATTGTAGAACTCCACACCATCTGCATTTTTGCAACTGCCAAAACACCACAACAACCTAGCTTAGGAGGTGGCTGAGGCCGACTGTGCCCTGCTCTCAGAGCCCTCCCTGTCCTCCAAGCCACCCTCAGTCCAAGGCCGTGCCACAGCTCACCTGAACACCAGCCGCTGGTCCTCGATGACAACACTCACGTCCGTGCTGTCCTCCACGCAGAACTCTAGGTAGACGTACCGTGGGCGGTCGTACCACAGCGTCTTTGCGGGTTGCCTTGGGGCAGAGCAGCACAGGTCAGCCCGTGCCCGCTCTCCCCTGTCAGCCCCAGCACCGCTCCCC